ATTAAAGGTCTATAGAGTACCTCTGTTCAATTATAACAGTCAAAATATCTCTAGATAGGTCAGATATCTGTGGGAGGCAAAATTGTCCCTGATTGAGAACCACTGAGTTATCTTTGTCTGTGTGTCTGCCGCTCAGAGACGGAAGGTTATCTGAGGTCATTCTCTTGGGTACCAAACCATTTCCTTTTCGGCACATTGTGGATGTAAACTAAGCAGTAGCTCTCAGTCTTATAGGAGAAAATGCAGCTGCAGTGTTTATCAAGTCCGGAATGTGTTCTTTGTCATTGCCGTCTTCCTTCTGTATCTGTCAGTTCTGCATCCGCTGACTCAATCAGCCATGGATTAAATATATTTTGAGAAAGAATAAGATAATAAAAAGCCATTAAGTGGCCAAAGCAATCCTGTAGAGTGATGGTAAGCTGTTATTTACAAAGCATTTAGAATAGATTATGTATTATAAGTAATCTAGAGATAATTTAGGGTATTCAAGAGAATGGCAGAGGTTATGAGCAAATATATTACTATTTTTTTATACGGAGCAGGAGAGTCTGCAGATTTTACTATGTGCAGGAATCTTGGAACCAATCCTGCCTGGATATTGCAAGGTGATTCTTCTATGATCATTTCAATTATAGTTTGTATTATTACTGGCATTAGAATTTCCTAACTCTTGTTGGAACAAAAGTATATACACCTATGGAATTTTTTGCCCAGACTTCCTTCAATGTATTTGCAGTTTAATATTTATTCAGAAATAATTAGCTACATATCTGATTTCAGTTCTCCCAACGCCTACCTATGATATCTGGCCTCATGTGTAAATGTTCTTAAAACATGCAGGTTCTTTTAAATGATTTATTAATAGCTATTCTCTGACATTATCTCCTAAAACAGGAGGCATGGGAAAATCGCAGTTAAATCACTAGTGTAGTTCTAAAGTAAAACCATCAGCCATGAACATAAACACACAATTCATCTAGAAATATATGGACAAAAAAAGAAAGAAATGGAAAAATCACACCATTTACTGCTATAAAATTATCAAAATAAATATTGATAAAGACAGAAAATTTTAGAGACCCATGTTGTCTTTCCGAAATTAAGTTGACCTATCCCGTATGGAAACCAAATTGTCAATAAGCGAATGTCCATCCCCTTCTGGTCCTATTAAAGGGACTTGGTTAGCAGTACCTTGAGCTCAATCTGCTGTTTTGAGAACGATGAGGGCAATGAATGTACAAAGGTGCTTTACACAAGTGATGCATGTATGGATTGTGATAAGAGTTGTATGAGCCCCTAATAAAATGATTTTTAAAAAAAAGAAAGAAAAGAAAACCACGGCTGGTATGGGCATGTCTCTCTGTGCACTGTGCTCTGTGGTGACTGGATACTTAAATGCCTACCTTTCATAGCCCCTCTCTGAACTCTCAAAATTCTATTTAGCCTCTTAGACTAATCTCCAGGGAGGTGTTATCCCAGCTAGCCACAGCACGATGCAAAGTCAAAATGACCCTCGCATAATCTGCTCATCTTAAAATGGGAATATGTTTTGTTTGGCTGTTTGTTTTTCAAGAATTTTATTTAAACAACAAGATGCTTGACTTGAAGGGAAAACTATCTAGGCTTTATTTCTCCGAGAGTAAGTAACCCTGGTGACATAGTGGGTATGAGTTGGGCTGGGAGCCGAAAGGTCGGCAGTTGGAGACCACCAACAGGTCCCTGAAGAAAGACTGGATTTTCTACTCCCTTAAACAGTTAGAGTCCTGGAAACCCAGAGTGGGGTCACTAAAATTCAGCATTGACTCAATGGTCGTGAGTGAGATTATGGAAGACAAGAAGAGAGAGTCAACTTACCTACTAGGAAGGGAAAGGATGAGTTAAGAGAGGGGTTGTTTTTGTTGATGATTGTGCAATCATTGCATTTATGAAGATCATAAGTCAGACAAAAATTATACTGATCACATTATATGAAAAAATTAGGATACAAAACTCTGGGCTTTACCTGAAGCATGTAAAATATATAAGAATTACTTCCAATGGAATTCAAGTCTTAGATCCTTGTGCTTGTTTGAGATGACTTTAGGGATTATATTCACTAAAAATTATTTACAAAAACATTCTGTCTGTCTCTGAAGAGGATACTCCTTGCACATTTTCACAAATGAAAGTTTAACAAAACTGTTCTGGGAAGTGATTCGGATTTATGAATTCTGTATTAAACCATCTAAGTACATCTGCTAGGGACAGTATAATAATTATGTGTGTGCATGTATGTGTAATGATTTCTTAGAATCGAAAATGATGCATAAATTCTCCATGATTTAAGCATTTGCACCGGCTTGCATGCACCCTGGGTGATACATATTCTACTCAAATATTGGGATGGTACATGGCTACTGTTTTTTTCCTTTTGTGCCTCGGGTTCTAGAAATACATCTTATGTGAGAGTAAATTATTGTTACCCAAAATGAATGAGTTTTTAAAAGTATGTATTCAGTAGCATTATCTTGTCTTTAATTTAGTGTTTTATAATGCACATGTAAGTAAAATATTGCAATAAAATCAAAGAAACTCGCATTAGACCAAAATATGAAAATGTGAAGCTCTTCTTTCTGGATACATTCTCCTTCTATGTCTGTATCTCCCTTCCCTGAAGAATCCTGGCTCTTTGAATTATACAAAGTCAAAATGATAGTCTGGGCATCCTCAAGGGTCCCAACTTGTGTTCGTTTGAAATGTTCTCTGAATCTTAGGAAGAAGCCTCTGTGGTGTAGTGACTGCACGTTGGGCTCTGATCAGTAGGGTCGACATTTCAAAACCACCAGAAGCTCTGAGGGAGAAAGGCTGAGATTTCTACTCTGGTCAACAGGTATAGTCTTGGAGACCCACAGGGGGTCGCTATGAGTCAGCCTTGACTCGTTGACTCCTTGGCGATGAGTTAGTGAGTTGAATTCTAGAACAAGAAGAAGTCAGAATGGTGCAAGATCAAAGCTTCAGAGTGGACTGGGTAACATTCCCAATAAAATTCTCTCGGACAACTTTGGCTACCCTGGAAGCATGAGTAGGTCCATTGTCCTTGGGGGGGACCCCACAAACCGCCAAAAACAAAGAATTTTGGTGCAACTTTCCAAACCTTTTTCTTACCAATGTAGTTCTCAATTTTCCTAACACTTCTTCAAACCAAGTCACCATAATTGTCCCGTTTTCTTCTCGAAAATCTATCTACCCCTTTAAGATAAAAAAAAAAAAAATCTGTTGCCATATCCTTCTCAGCTGCCTTCTCTGTCTTGAATTTACCTGGCCCAGGATCTTTTTTTGGAAACCTCCGTTTTGATCGGATCTTCCTCTCTGCATCCTATTGGCAAATCCAAGACTGACCTCTGTTACTCTTTGACCTACCTGATCCTTAACATAAGCCGTTTGACCCCTATGAATCTGCAAGTTTGCTGAGACCAAAATGCATAATTCACATAAAAAATGTAAAGCCAGGTGAGACCTCGACCTCAGTAGCTATTGCATCAAGGGTAATTACACAGCCTTCCTCACCAGGTCCTGGATGTCAGCCAGCTTCTTCATTTCTTGAGGATGCTCATCTTCCAGTTCTTGGCTCATTTTTGAGATCTTCCGACCGTCTTTTTAATACTTGATTCATCTAAGACCTCTTGTTTTACGTGGGGCACTATTGTCATTAACTTATTGCAAAGATTCAATAATTTGGATAGTGGTCCTCCTAAGGTTTGCTAAAAATGTGATCTTAACTATAATCTCAAAATCATCCTTTTCTGTAGCCCAAAGAATATCCTTATTTTGAAGCGACTCTAACAAGGCTAAGAGAGTGTATTGCTGTGAGAACTTTTCTGTAATCATCTACTGATTGCAGAGACAAGCTGAAACCTATTTAAAAAAAATAAACCCGGGTATGTGTGAACTCTATTCTAGCAGGACGAAATGGTTGAAATGTATAAATCAGATATCACATTGCATCCCGATGTCTAGTGTACCTTTCACTGTTGTCATTGTTAGCTGCTATTGAGTTGGTCCCTAGCTTGTGTTGATGTCATGATCAAGGCTATAATTCTGCCCTCCCCAATGGCATCCTCAAGATCAATTGTGGATCAAATGCTTCTGAGCCATTATTTTCATTAGCAGCTATTCAGAAGTAGATCATCAAGTCTTTTTCCCTAGTCCATCTCAGTCTGGAAGCGCTGCTGAAACCTGTTCAGCATCATAGCAACACATGCGCCTCCACTGACAGAGGGGAGGTATTTGCGTGTGAGGTGCCGCAGCCAGGAACTGACCTGGATTTCCCACCTGAAAGAGGACGATGTTATCACCTAACCATACACACCCCATATATATCATTATAGATGGGGTCCTCAAACCACATGAGTGACCTTGAACTCCCGTCACATCCGTTTCTTCAAGTCACCTGAAATTAGCACATGTTCTCAGGGTCCCATGACTTTTCCCCTTTCATCTGTTCTAGACTCTTTTACTCAGTGGTTTGACCATCTGCTGGAGCTTTTTTTGTCCTTCAAACCCCAGCTCAAGTCGGACTTTATTGTGAAGCAGCTCAGATCTGCCCTGTCACCCCAAGTGGTCTTCCCATCCCCAGCCTCTGCTGCAGTGTCAGCCATGTCTGCCTACACTATCCATCTGGATCTAACATTTGTACTGATTATTTTACTATAAGTCCCTATAAGTCAAGGAGCATTGTGTCCTTGGTTCCTGGAATGATTTTTGGCACATAATCAAGGTTCAATAAATGTTCATTTAACAAACAACCATAGGTTTTATTGTTACCAGATATTTCTTTATATTACAACTGAAAATTGGCAACTGAGATGAAATTTTCTCTGTTGCAGCTAAACATATATGTACATACACACACAGCTAAAATATTGATACAATACACACTAGTTTGATTGTACTTCCCATTTCTTCTGGACACAGAGCATTCCGGTGGACTGTGAGAGGGCATCTATAGACATGTGACTTACATTTTGCAACTGCACGTGACTCTTCGCCAAGGTCTCTGATTTTGCCATGGTGTTGGATACTTTGAGACTGTAGTTTTTACCATGGTGTGTCTCTTTCAGCTGCTCTTGAATTTGTTTAGTTTGTTTCCTGTGGATTCAAATATATCATTTATATAGATACCGATACACATTATTTCTATTCATATTTTTCAGGGATCACTCAGTCCAACCATAAAATACTTTAGAGGGAAACTGATGTGTACCCATTATGATTCTGATATTCACAAGCAAGGGGGTCCTCCAAAGGCTGAAAGAAATATAACATTATTGTCCTGGTCCCTATTGACAGGTCAGAGGTCATTGACACTCATTATTAAAGGTGCTGTGTAGAAGTGGCTGCTGGGAAACCTGAATCATGGGCCCATGACCACATATAACATATTTACAAAGCACATTTACCTTTTCACAGTTCAAATCTACATAGGTTAATTGCACATATAGGTTAACTGTAAAGGAATAGCTCACTTATTCTTCCCAATCGACCTGGATTATCATAAGATTGACCCCCTACATTTCAAATATTAAACATTGTTGCTTTTTAATCAGCACTCATTATATGATAAAAGTATTGTATATAGCTACATGAGTCAAACTCAGTCTATGGGAGAGACAATAATGTTCTGCCCATTTAAGAAATGATAAAACTGAGGTACAGAGAAATCAACTAATGTGGCTAGTGGTGAAACGGAAACTTGTCCCCAGTAAGTCTGGCTGCTCAGTCTACGCTGTTCACCACTCAGAAGGGTAAATAAAGTCCATGTTCTGATAGCTTCGAATTTGGAAGGCTGAGAACTGCATTTTCCTTTCTTTTTTTGTCTTTAGGCTCAAAGGGTGGTACTCTGCCTACCTGCTGAGAGTGACAATTGTTTAGACCATGAGGAGGCAATGCCTTTCCCCAGGCTGACCGTTTGTTGCCAGGGGGTTCATACAAAGTTCCTATTAACAGAAGACTCAGATCCATAGTATTGCTCAGAACGTTTGCACAGTATCCCCAACCCATCCCCCACCCCCCACCTTCCCTCTGCACATGGGTCCCTCCACCAAGGACGCTGTCAAGGACAGAGAGCCATTGGGGGAGAATGGCTGCCATGTCTATGAAAAGCCGCCACTTACACTGACACGCTGCAAGCAACCGGCAGGGATACTGAGAGACTGTGGCTCTGGAACCTGTGCCACTGGAATTTGAACCCCTGCTGTACACTTGATAGTTAACGATGGCCTGAATGTCTCTGGATCTGTAAAATGGACCTGCTAAGAGCTATCCCCCAGGGATGCTGTGGCCATTAAATGGGAGGGCACCTGAAAAGTATCTGCTCCTCCCTCTCGTTATTTAGTGGGAAGTCAGCACATTGGCCCGGCATGAAAGAAAGCATCCTAAGAGTTCTCTGTCACAACCACATGATTTGCAGTCTCTGATCCCCTTGGGATTTCCATTAGTGTTAGGTACCTAGACTAGTTTAATTTTTTTTTCTTTGATCTTTTCAGTGATTTAGGAAACTCTTGTCTCCAATATTCTTAGTTGGTTTCATCCAGTTGTAAGAACTTATATGTTTCCTAGCCATTACTCTAGAGCCAATTGTTCAAAATAAGTAGATTACGTTGCATTTCAAGAAGTGTGCTGTCACCACAAAATCTAGTATGGATTTGTTAATGAAACAAAAGGAAGGTAGGAGATTCTTCCTGATTAAACCATCTGGAACCACTAAGCTTGTTCTTGGAATAGAATAAGAACTCACTAAATTTTTAAGAGTTAAAGTAATAATAATAATATCATCAGTCTTCTCACTAATTTCAAGGGTAAAATCTGGAAAATACCAATTTGTAAAGGAAAAATGTCCCTCAAAATGTCTGACAACATTCTCCACGCTTTATCTCCTAGAACATAGCCTCTCCCACCCAGAATCCAGGTCTAGAGACCAGTGAGGTGCTTCATGGTCAGGTGTGAGCTTCATGTTTAAGCCTACCATGGATTCCTAAGGCCGTCTCGCCTGTCTTCTCTGTGAGTAATGAGAAGCCCTGAGAGGAGTGAGAGCCGCCCGAAGAGCAAAATATCAGCAAGATTTGAGACGCTCAATAAACCGTACTCTGAGCGATTTCGGGAAGCAGAAGGACATAGTAGGAGGGATGAGGAAACCATTTGTCCTCGTGTATCCTTCTGATATTGAGAGAATCAATGAACTCAGAACTTCTGCTAAATTCAAGAAGCTGCTGCTTTACTTCAGATGCATCTTTTTTCCCAATCTTTCAATGCTTCTCAGATGAACAGTTTGCTTAAAGATTTATTTTTGGGTAGGCCCACTATCACAAGGGTGTGATAGGAAACTGTAGAAAGGAATCAAGTGACAATATTTAGATTATGGTAGAAAGTAGTATAATAGAAGATGAACAAGAGAATGTAGGCTTTTACTTAGGACCTGGATCTTTGGGGGATATCAGTATACATGCTAGTACATAGAATATAGGTTGAAGTGAATTTATTTGGAGATCCAAAGTGCAGAAGTCCCAGAATCCTGGAAGAATTAAGCCTTCCATGCTGAATTAAATGTGTGTGTTTGTGTGTGTGTATTCACTCCCACTTCCATTGAGTTTATTCTGATTCACAGCAACCCCCATATGGCAAAACATTAGTGTCTTTTTCTGTTTCTCAGACTTTTAAATCTTAACTGGAGCATCTTTCTCCCACAGAGCAACTGATTGATTAGAATCACTGACTTTGCAGTAAACAGCCCAATACACTACTAGCGCTCCTGCAAATATCTGTAATCCTGAACTAAGGATAATGTTCCCACCGCAATTATTTAGTTATTATTATTATTATTATTAAGGATCTCCCGTAAAATGATTATTCAGTCTGTATGCTGAGCAAATCATCAGAAAAGCTGGATTATATGACGAAGAATTTGACATCCAGATCGGTGGAAGTTTTATTAACAAATTGTGATATATAAATGACACAACTTTGATTGCTGACAATGAAGAGCACTGGAAGCACTTGCTTATGAAGGTCAAGATCGCAGCCTTCCATCTGCAGGCAACTGGACACACCCTGACGGAAGGGTCTCGGGGAGGAGATAAGCCAGTCAGGGTGCAGTGTGGCAACGATGAAACATACAACTTTCCTCTAGTTCCTAAATGCTTCAACCTCCCCCTCTCCCCCACCACTATCATGATCCCAATTCTACCTTACACATCTGGCTAGACCAGAGGATGTACACTGGTACAGATAGGAACTGGAAA